GTGTGTGTGTGTGTGTGTGTGAGTGAGAGCCTATACCGTGTCTGTTTAGGTAGCCCGCCTAGAATAGCTTTGCTAACTGCGGGCTACAAAAGCCTTTGTTTCTTTAATTTAAAAAAAAAAAATAAAGTCAAGGTTATCCCTCGCATATTCAGTCATTATGAGGCTTATAATCGATTAGACCGACGATCTCATCGCGCTCATCGGCTGATTGCACTGTTCTGAAGATGAAGATGTGCACATGGCAAAGGAAGCGATGACCCCCTGCGATAAATTAAAAAGGAATGACGTGAGAAAAGACGAAAACTGGGGGTTTTCCCTCATTTAGAGGCAAGGCAATATCTGTCTGTGTGCTTTCCAATCATTTCCCAGCACTTTTTGTACCATTTTGCACCGACGCAAGTCACAGAAAGGTGACTCTTGTTTTCCTATTCTGTCCGACATGATTGTAAATGAACAATGTCTTGAATTATTTAAGAAACCAGAACAATTACCGTTATTACATAACAACTTCTGAGAATTTAAGTTGTGTGACTTGTCGCTGATACAAATGTCTGGTGACATCACTTCTCTATTGAAATAGAGATATGATTCAATATTTTCCCGCGCTTGCGCTAAGGGTTGAAGGTATTCATAAACCATCTTTCTAGAAGAGAAAAGAAAAATGTACAGAAATAATGCTTTCCTTGTAAAGTTGTTGGAGCGATGAACTGAAAAAGGCAGAAGGATTTTGTTTGGAGATGCTTAGTTTTCGACGCATCAGACACTATTGAGCTGTAAGGGGAGACAAAATAATATTAATTACCAGTTTTTGAAGCAGCCTACTGTTGAAGGATATCAATTGCATTATCACGTGAACCACTACTGGGCAGTTTTCTCTTTCTCTTTGACAAATCGAGAGAAAAAATTGTTTTCTTCGAACTGTGGCTTCATCTTCTGCCACAAAGAGTACTGAGAGCAGACCATAGCATTGCCTATCAGAGAAAGCTGGCAAACGAAACTTCCTACTCTCCTAGATTGAACCACTTCTATTTTTAACAAAACGTTATTGAGCGATGTGAAAATTTGTCGTTTCAGTGTCGTCTGCTGAAAGTGAGAGAAAGATGTCGATCCCATGCCAGCTCATAAGTTTGTTCTTGCAATCAGTAGTCCTGTGTTCTTTGCCATGTTCTATGATCAAATGGCGGAGATTAAAGACTCTATTGAACTGCCTAACTGTGAGCCGAGAGTCTTCTAATAGAGGAGAAGAGAGACGAATTCTTAGAGATGAGATCATTAAGGAAATACAGTTTCTACTGATGTCAGAAAAGATGTTTATCTGTTGTGCTTGGCTCTTACATCCTTATTATTTATGAGGTTAAACATAGGATCAAACATTACAGAGGGGATCTTCAGTTACCTTTGCCGTTTATGGAAAGCGCGAGGGGTAAAATTGACCATTTTCGATGCAATCGATTTCAAAAGTTCAATGTTCCGTGCAATGGAGGCGGTGATTGGTTTAGTGCTGGGTATTACAGCGTTATAGTCACAAGCTGCGGAGGTTCTTGGTCTTATACAATGATACGTGCGACTGACAGTCTTGGTTTCACAGTCAACAAGCCAATCATCTAGTACATGGAGTTAAAAAGTGGCGGTTACATTGTTTCTAATGAAGTGGAATGGAAAGGAATGATCAGGAACTTCTACCTTAGAAAAGGAGGATAGGAACAATTATAATGGCTTTGATGTATTGTTTGATCTTACAATTTCGCTGGAAACAAACAAACAAACAAACAAACAGCACACGTTAGTATCTGTTGTTGAGAACCCTTTGTCATGGTACGGAGGGCAGGGACAAATGTGTGCTGAATCAGGAGGGGTGCAATTCAGTTTCAGCGCACCATATGGTCAGTCCTAAGGAACCTTTGTGAAAAAGGGCCAGTTTCCAGCCTTCGTTTTCAGCTAATTTCTGGAAACACTACGAAGCATGTTCTCAAATTCAGCTCGTTAAATTTTTGATTAAAATTAGTCGAAAGAAATTCATAAGAAATAAGCACCTTGCTAAATTAATTACGAACTTTAACTGTTAATTTTCCTTTTTAAATTTTTGGAACTGTCTTATGTTTTAAAAAGGACCAAAAACGTTGTATGATTCTCGTCCACGTGCAAGATGGTGCATTAATACTAACGTGAACCCGAAACATTCTTTTAAGATTTGGAAATGGTTATTTGTACCCATCTCCCGTTCCAGACCCTCTCCTCAATCTCGTTTACCATTGAGCATTCAGAACTGACGGTAGTTACAAAAAGATGATAAAACGTAATACGTCAGTAATTCTACTATATTTTTTATTTCAACTGAATAGTCAGATATATCTAACAATAATGTTATTCCCGGCCTTTGGGATATATCAGATTACATGAAACCGTTTGTTTATATAACTTGTATAACCGTTATATAACCGTTTGTTTCATAACTTCAAAGAGCCTCGAAACGAGCTGAGAAATTTACTCTTACGTGACTTGAGGAACAACGGTGTGACAAGAACTGTTTCGCTGCACAGGAAAAGTTCATTGAATTCAAAAGGGTTTAATTTGTAAAGAGAACTGAGAAAAAACATAGCAATGGCTGCTGAAGATAATTGACAAACGAAACTTTCAACTCTCATGGAAAGAGGCTGACAGTTTCTAAAGAAACTATTTGGGGCTGCGTCGGTGGGGGTAACGAAATAATTTGGATATATCAACAAAGTTGAAATAGTAAATTGGCCACCGTAACGATTACGAAAGCTGACGTTAGCCCTTCGTCGGAATAGAGGAATTGTGGGTTGTGTGTGCCCATTTATAAAGGCTCCATTTACAGTTAATTGAGTAGAAACTGGCCAAAATTCATAAGCTTAGGAAAGTTCTATTCCATCTGACCTCTTCGTCGTCTGACAAAGCGAAATTAAAATCTAATTACCTTTGTGGGACTTTCCCTTTATTTTCAAAAATACAAAAAGCTATTGTCAGCATTTCTTGCACCCGTTTTTAGCTGACACGAGTCACACAAAGACTTCTTCGTCGTCTTACAAAACGAAATGAAAACCTCTATACTTCCGTGGGACTTTCCCTTATTTTCAAAAGTACAAAAAGCTATTGTCAGCAATTCTTGCACCATTTTACGCTGACACGAATCACACAAAGACGACGTTTGTTATTTCACCTTGTGCGGCTTGATTGTTAATAAGTAATATCCTTATAGTTATCGCAAAATAGAATGATTACTGTTTTTACTGGCAAAATTCTGAGAATGGAAGTTGGTAAAACTGTTTGGTGACGTCACTTCCTTTCATAAATGAGATCTGTTGATAATTTATTATTTTCCACACGCTTGTGCTAAGCGTTAACGGTATTCATAAACACCCATGACACAAAAGAAAAGAAAACCATGTAGAAACATGGCTTTCCTTTTGAAGTTGTAATTAAAAGCGATTTGAACTGAAAGAAGCAAATGGTTGTTAAAGAAAGTGTTATGAAACTGTTGAGTTAGGGAGGCAAAAATAAAAAATAAAAACGCTTTCAGAATATCAGTTGCCAGGTGTTTGGGTTGGTTAATTGTTGAAGGATATCAATTGCATCAGATTGCATAAATTTAACATGACTGGGCAGTTTTCACTTTCTCTATAACTGAGAGAAAACTATTGCTGTCTGCTTACTGTTGTCTCAAATCGTACTTCCGATTGTGTGAGTAAGACCCAGAAAGAGATCTGAGAGAAGCAAACTGCGATGCCTGTTGAAGAAATCTGGCAAACGAAACTTCCAACTCTCGTTGATAGAACCACTTCTATTTTTAACGATGAGTTACTGAGCGATGTGAAATTTGTCGTTCCAGAATCGCCTGGTGAAAGCAAAAGTAAAAAGGTGATCCCAGCTCACAAGTTTGTTCTTGCAATCAGTAGTCCTGTGTTCTTTGCCATGTTCCATGGTCAAATGGCGGAGACTAAAGACTCTATTGAACTGCCCGACTGTGAGTACGAGAGTCTATTGGAGCTGTTCCGTTTCTTGTACAGCGACAAAGTCAATTTAAGCGGGAATAATGTGATGCAAGTGTTGTACTTGGCGAATAAATACATGGTGCCTTCACTCGCTGAGAAATGTTCAGAATATCTTTGCGACAACTTGACGGCATGCAACGTGTTTTGTATCCTAACGCATGCTCAGAAATTTTGCAATCAATCTTTAGAAGATCGATGCTGGGAAGTAATTGAGCGGCATACAAACGAAGCTCTTACGTCAGACGAATTTGTTACAGTTGAGCGATCTGTAGTTGAATCTGTTGTGAAGAAGGAAGTGTTAAATGTGAAGGAGGTGGAACTGTTCAAGGCTGTTGATCGCTGGGCTACAAAAGAGTGTGAAAAGAAAAGTCCGATGGCCCTCTCTAATGGAGAACAAAAGAGACAAATTCTTGGAGATGAGATCGTTAAAGCAATACGGTTTCCACTGATGTCAGAGAAGATATTTATGTCTGTTGTGCTTGATTCTCAAATCCTTACTCTTTCTGAGGTTGAATACATGATCAAACATTACAGTGGGGATCTTCAGTTACCTTTGCCCTTTATGGAAAGCGCTAGGGGTAAAACTGATCATTTCCGATGTAACCGATTTCAAAAGTTCAATGCTCCGTGCAGTGGAGGCGGTGGTGGGTATTACAGTGTTACAGCCACAACCGCCGGTGGTTCTTGGTCTTACAATGGTGCGACGGCTGACAGCATCAATTTTACGGTCAACAAGCCAATCACCTTACACGGAATTCAGCACTTTGGTTCTAAAGGTGGTGATTACATTGTTTCCACTAATATTAAAGATACCACCCGCGACTCTTGTCTTGGAAAAGAATCAGGAACTTACACCGCAGAAAAGGAAGTTAAAAACAATTATTATGGCTTTGATGTATTGTTTGACCGTCCAATTTCGTTGGAAGCAAACAAACAATACACTTTAGTATCTGCTATCGAGGGTCCTTTGTCATGGTATGGAGCGGAAGGACAAATGTCCGCTGAATCAGGAGGGGTACAATTCAGTTTCAGTGACTCAGACGATGATTCTAATGGCACCTTAGTAACAATCGGCCAGTTTCCAGTCTTCATCTTCAGCTAATTTCTGAGCACACTACTAAGTAGTTTCTCTTTTTATTTTTTTAGTTTCAATGAGTTCTTTCATGTCAAAAGGGTTTGAAGACACGTTTTTTACGGTTAAAAGTAGTCGAAAGAAAGTCATAGGCAATCATCACCTTGAAATTAAAAACTAAATGCATTTCAAACTTATCATGACCGGTCATTTTTCTTAGTTTTAGATTCATGTAACTTTTTTTGCTTTAAAACGCACCAAATGGTCGTTTGATTCTGGTCCGTTTGATTAACGTCATCAGAAAACTATTAATAAAGTTGATTGTAAGCCATGTGAAGTGAGCGATGTCTTGTTGATCGTTCAAATTCGAGTTAGTTCAGTACGCAAGTCGGCGCTTGATGACCACGAGCACTGACTTTCAAGACTAGATAAAGCATTTATTCAAGTTGTTAACGCAGGCAGGCAACCTTCCAGGTTTTTCTCAGGCCTCGTGAAGTTACTCATTAGATATCAGCGGTAATTGTTGTAATTTGCAATGGTCGATCTGAACTTGATTAAAGCGCATGCTCGCTGGTTTACTCTAGTTTGAGCACTCTGGCATGGCTTAGACGATACCACAAAGGTTGGGTCGTTTGGGGTGACCATATTGGTTCTCCTCCATCCTAGCATTAGCACTGCACTGATGAGGCCCAGAAGGCCGAAACAGTACTGTCTGCAGTTAGTTATATCGTGGGAAACTTGTTAATCCTGAATAATGGAATTCTTAACCTTAATTTCCCAAATATGCTTATTGACAGTCATGTAAATAAATTTAGCTTTACTTTGTTTTAATTGTGTTGTCTCGAGTTATTTAGTGAGTTTTTGAAACAGTCGATTCCCCCATCCGCCCCCTCTCCGCCGCCGCTTGAAGTAACCGACTTACTTAATTTTTTTGCCATCTTTACGACGCGTTCCTACCTCTCTATAGACACATTTAATTCGTATCATTAACAAAGCCTTGAGGCTTTACTAAAGGAGAAGCCTCAAGGCTACTTAGAATTATTCAAGGAATATTTAACCCGCATTCAAATGCGGCTGAGACAAAAGGTATCCAGTTAGTCATGTCATTACTAGAGGAGAATCTGTGGAACCTTTTGTAAAGCGACGACATCTTAAAGATATCTTAAAGCACTTGCTCCTCCTATTACACTCATGATTCATTTGTTAGCTTCCGACCGCGATGTATTTTAGAAAGAGAGGTATAATCGTATATCTTGCGATGTGGTCACTTCGGATGTAGATCGCGAGGTTTCGAATGCTAGTCTTCTTTAGGCGATGAGGTCGATTAAGAACGCGTCAGCTATAGACTGTTGTGCTCAGCTGTGATTGGATGGAAGTCCACGTATATGATTGGTGCAACTTCGGATAATTTCCTCTGCGGACCGCTGCTGCACGGCTCTCCTGCTGTTGTGTCTTTCAATCGTCGGCATCCAGGCTTCTTGGATTTCTATTCCACTGTTCCTGTTGAAGTTGTTAGTTGAGTGTGAAGTCTTGTGTGGATTGTTACTAGACGTTTTGCATGTTCGTAAAGACACTACAAAACTGCGTTTAACTGATTGCAGATGGTGTGATTCATGCGCTAGGTATTGGTCAGCGTGCGTCGGCTTCCTGCATGTATACGCCGGTGGTTAGGCGTCCATCAGGTTCTCTTGAAACTGCAGTTTCGAGGAAGGTTAGTTTGTTGTTGCTTTCTGTCTCTATGGTGAATCGAATGGAAGGTTGTTAGTAGTTTTGATGCTGTAGGAAGCTTTCTACGCTCTCGTGGGCAGAGATGGCGAAGGTTTTGTAGCGTTTCCAGAGCCTAGGTTTGTGGGGTAATAATGTCATTGATAATTCTCTGTTGGCTAAAGTAGCGGACATATATCTCATGCGACGTTGTTCACGCGTGATACAGTAGGTCTCAGAGGTACATCAGCTGTATGTATCTTTGGTAAACCGTAGATTCTAGGTTGCTAGTTGTGTCGTGGTCTGATCTTGTTGTCGACAGCCTCTGATAGATATCCGCTTCGTTTCAAGGTTTTCAGTTTCTCAGTGACACTCCAAAATAGACGTTCTGTCGGGTCTTTATTCGAGAGCTGCTAGTGATACAGTCCGTTTTCGAACAGGGAGGACATCTTGGTCGGATAGGTGTAGGGCGTCTAAGACTACAGTAGTACGTTCTTTGTCTGCTGGGAGAACCTTGATGGTCATTAAACTCTTGACGCGCAATTTTGTGTCTTCGGCCCGGCTCAGAGTTGAATAGTACTTGCTATTCACTTCCAAACTCAGTAACCAATCAGCGCGCGCAAAAAGCACTTTTCACTTTGTGCAGTGTATGCTAGTTTTCTTTATTCTCATCACTTGTCTGCTTGATACTTATTTCCATATATATTGTAAGAATGAATTCTGTCTTGGTCACTTGTGGGAGTTAATGAGTTAAGTTCTCTTGTGGCTCGAAAGATCGACTAGGACAACTCAAAAGAATTGAACTAACTTTAAGTTACACGGTAAGAGGAGGTTAAGATCATCCAATCACAGCGCAGACCTACAAACAAACCATTCTCTTAGCTAACAAAAGGTCATTTGCCGGAAACGCCTCTTCATTGAATCGAGATCGCCTAGACTTGTATACAGTCATTTTTTGATGAAATATTGATTGGGCCAGTCCATTGACAAAATTTTGTTTTGCTCTAGAACAGTTTGATTACTGGCCTTCTTCACTATGTTGTTTGCATAAGACATAAGCCTTTCGTCGGAGCGAATGACGAAGGGATAATGCTCCAAGCGTCAGTTTTAGAAACTCTTTGTGACAGCCGGGCCAGTTTACATTATCAACTCAGTTGATAAAACAAAGTCATCTTGTTATACCCTCCACCGTCGAAGCACCACAGTTTGGTGAGAAACTTACCCCCTTCATTTAGTTGTCACATTCAGGTTGTTGAACTGAGAATAATAAACAAGGGGTCACGAAGAAAGTCATATTTATTCAATTAAATTTGTCAGTCATAAAGTAATACCTTTTTGCATTATACTTTTAATAATACCTTTTAATACCTTTTAATACCTTTTACGTTATGCTTTTTCGATTGAATTTGCCAGAGTCATAAAGTTTTCAATCTTCAGAATTTATCATATTAAAAAGGAAGCAACCGATTGAATGCATAAGAACATACATAACTACACGAGCAAACATCTGAAGAGCCTGGAAACGAGGAATCTTTCTTCTGCGTGACAAGAGGAGAAAAAGTGTCACGACGCGAGGGCTTACTTGTCCAAGTATCGAATACGATCTGTGAAGAGAACTGAACATAGAAGTAGAAGTAGAACATAGCAATAGCTGATGAAGATAACTGGCAGACGAAACTCTCGACCGTCGTCAAGAGAACTGCATTTATGTTCAACACTGAATTATTGAGCGATGTAAAATTTGTTGTTCCAGGGTCAAATGGCGAAGGTGAAAGAAAGGTGATTCCAGCTCACAAGTTTGTGCTCGCAATCAGTAGTCCTGTGTTCTTTGCCATGTTCTATGGTCAAACGGCAGACAGTAAAGACTCTATTGAACTGCCTGACTGTGAGTACGAGAGTCTGTTGGAGTTGTTTCGTTTCTTATACAGCGACAAAGCGAATTTAAGCGGAAGTAATGTGATGCAAGTGTTGTGCTTAGCGAATAAATTTAAAGTACCCTCGCTCGCTCAGAAATGTGCAGAATATCTGCGAGACAACCTAAGAGCATCCAACGTCTTTGGTATCCTTCCATACGCTCGGAAATTTAAAGATAAACACTTAGCAAATCGATGCTGGAACTTGATTGAGATGCATACAAAAGAGGCTGTGAAGTCAGACGTATTTGTTACAGTTAAGCGATCTCTGGTTAAATCTGTTGTCAAAAGGAGAAAGTTAACGGTAAAGGAAGTGGACCTGTTCAAAGCTGCTGATCACTGGGCCACAAAAGAATGTGAAAGGCAAGGAGTAACTCAAACATTCTTTTAGGCACAAAAATGTTAACATTTGATTTGGAAAAGGTTGTTTGTACCCTTCTCCCGTTCGAGACCCTCTCCTCAATCCAGTTTCACATTCAGCATTCAGGACTGATGATGGATGCAAAAAGATGATAAAAACGTAATACGTCAGAAATTCTGTTATATTTTTCATTTCGACTAAATAGTCAGATTCATCTAACAACAATGTTATTGAGACCTTCGGAATATATCAGAATGAAACCGTTTGTTTATCATAACTTCGTGGTCAAAGATTTGGAGAGCCTGGAAATGAGGAATTTATTCTTTCGTAACTTGTGTGACAAGAACTGTTTCCCTACACAGGAAAAGTCCATAGAATTCAAAAGGGTTTAATTTGTGAAGAGAACTGAGAACAAACGTAAGAATGGCTGCTGAAGATGATTGGCAAACGAAACTTCCCACTGTCATCGAAAGAACTGCGTTCATTTTTAACAACGAGTTACTGAGTGATGTGAAGTTTGTCGTTCCAGTGTCGACTGGTGAAAGCGAAAGTAAGAAGGTGATTCCAGCTCACAAGTTTGTTCTCGCAATCAGTAGTCCTGTGTTCTTCGCCATGTTCTATGGTCAAATGGCGGAAACTAAAGACTCTATTGAACTGCCCGACTGTGAGTACGAGAGTCTGTTGGAGCTGTTTCGTTTCTTGTACAGCGACAAAGTGAATTTAAGCGGAAGTAATGTAATGCAAGTGTTGTACTTAGCGAACAAATACATGCTGCCTTCGCTAACCGAGAAATGCACAGGGTATCTTCGTGGCAACCTGAAGGCCTCGAACGTGTTTTGTATTTTGCCGTACGCTCAGAAATTTGAAGATAAAGATTTGGAAGATCGATGTTGGAAAGTAATTGAGAAGCAGACCCAAGAAGCGATGACGTCAGACGAATTTCTTTCCGCTGAGCGATCTGTTGTAGAATCTGTTGTGAAAAAAGAAGTGTTGAATGTAGAGGAAGTGGAACTGTTTAAAGCTGTTGATCGCTGGGCCACAAAAGAATGCGAAAGACAAGGGGTTACTTCCTATGGAGGGACAAAGAGACGACTTCTTGGAGAAGATATTGTGAAAGGAATACGTTTTCCTTTGATACCACAGAAGGATTTTGCATCTGTCGTATTCGATTCTCGAATCCTAAATTTTGAAGAGGTCGGCGATATGATAAAACACTACAATGGTGTTTTAGCTACTCCTTTACCATTCTTACAAGCCTGTAGAATTGATTCCACTACGTACCAGTGCTGCAGATTTCAAACGTTTTGTGCGCCAGCGAGTTACTGGAATTACACTGGGAATGCTGATTGTATCATTCTTACTGTCGAGAAGCCTGTTAAGGTTTACGGAGTTCAGCATTTTGGCTCCGAAGGCAGGAAGTATACAGTTACAACAGACATTATTGATCCCATAGACAACACTTCGCTTGTGAGTCGAGCAGGAATTTATGCTTCAGAAAAAAGCGATACCCATGGTTATTACGGCTTTGATGTAATGTTCGATCGTCCTGTTAATTTGAAAGCAAATAAAGAATACAAGCTAAAGTCGCTCATCGAGGGCCCTAAATCGTGGTACGGTGAAGATGGGCGAACATTAGTGGAGTGCCAGGGAGTGCGATTTACGTTTCGGAAAATTAACATTACTTATAATGGGACTAACGAAGTAAGAGGACAATTTCCCGGAATCTTTTTTTCAGTTTTCAAGTAGAGATTCCAAGGTTACCCGAACCGTTCCTATTAATGTAGAGCCCAGTGAAGGTCTAATAGGTCAGGTAGTATTGGATCAATCTTCTTGGATGACCAAGTGTACGCCTGTGAACTTTTTGACAAACACTGATCATGACTGATAAATACTACAAGTGAAATAGCTAAGTGGACTCAATCAAAGCTTACCCAGAACACTTGTTACATGGGATCCTCAAGAGTCAGTTAGAGAACCCAGTTGTGTATATAGAGAATAATAAGTTTGATCAGTGCAGAAGAAGTTTCTGGTGGCTAAATGTTGTTTTATTCAAATAAATATTTTGTATGTTTTCTCTTGCTTGTAAATGTAAACGGTCAAATTAAAAATATAGCCCCAGAAATACTGCTTACCTTTTGAAGTTGTCAGAGCTATGAACTGAAAGAGGCAAAAGAGGAAATGAAATACAAAAAATAAGTTTTCAGAATATAAATTGTCAGATATTTGGGGCGGTTACTTGTAGAAGAACATGAATTGCATTGTCACGTGAAACATTACTGGGCAGTTTTCTCTTTCTCTTTCTCTTCCTCTTTCTCAGATCAAGAGAAAAACTTGTTTTCTTCGAAGACCTGCAAAGAGTACTGAGAGCAGACCATCGCAATGTCTATTGAAGGAAGCTGGAAAACGAAGCTTCCAACTCTCGTAGAAAAAAACACTGCATTTTACCTCATGGTATGATACACATTTATGTTGGAACGTCCTCTCGCTAACATAAATGTTTAAATGGATTATTATTATTTCTAGATCATTTTTTACTATGTGTAGATAAAATGACTTGTTTTCTTTGTGGTTGCGGGCAAAATTCTTTCGCGTTTATGGCCAGAAAAGCAACTCAGCATTGTCTCCGGAATTTCTGAATCATTTAAAGGTGCAAAAGATACTTCTGGTAACTGATGTTTTTTAAGTTACTTGTCTAATGCGTCAAAGCCTTACAGTGTTGGATTAGTCAGGAGACAAGACAAACAAAGATATCTCGTTATGCAAAATTAGTCTTCTGAAGTAAGTGTTGCCTTAGGCATCACAAGGAAAGTCGCTGAAGGAAATGGTCGTAGTAGGAATACCTAAATTGTTAACTACAAAATCAACTGGTATACTGTCCTCAAATCAGGTATCTTATCTCCATTATTTTATCTATGCCAATCTTAAAAGTGTTCTTCAAAACTCTCGTCCTCTTCCTTTTCACAGATTATTTAGGTCACAAACTCGCTTGCAAATTCGTCTTTTTTGGTGATCGGGTGTAACGCATGGGCGCGTCGGGATATGACACTTAACAGCTTGTCGGCGCGGAGAAACCACTTTGTCAAGAAAAAAATAAACAGTAGCAAATTTACTTTTTCGTTGTTTTATCCTGACGCGCACAGCTGCTTTTTTGATCAAATAATACTTGACAAGACCAAAGGACTCTTTAAGGATTACTTAGTTAAGAACCATTTGTTTAACAAGTGCTTCATTAGCTTTTAAAGTTTCTTTTGTCTTAGGGAGAACAATTGCGGACTCGTGGTGATGATAGCCGTTTGCGATATCAAGTATATGATGGCTTGCAAGTAGCACAAGCAGGCCTTTATCACTAGCGCTTCGGCACAAACTTTTCTTCACCCAACGCGAGCCGGCGAGAAGTATGCAAGGGAGGGGGGGGAGGGGGAGTGTCTAGGACTGTGTTTGCGTTAGATCAACAATACAACTCGCCGGTTTGTGTCAAAATAACAGGACCTGTCATTTTTCACCAATCAAAATGTGTTTCTTCGACAAGGACCACGTATCTGTCATCCAATCGTTGCTCCAACTTGTTTACATGTAATAGAGCGTCGAAAGAATGGCAATGACTGCGGAAGAGAGCTGGCAGACGAAACTTTCAAGTATTGTTGATCGAACCGCGTTTATTTTCAACAATGAGTTACTGAGCGATGTAAAATTTGTTCTCTCATTTTCGTCTAGTGAAATTGAATTACGTACAAAGGTGATCCCAGCTCACAAGTTTGTGCTCGCAATCAGTAGTCCTGTGTTCTTTGCCATGTTCTATGGTCGAATGGCGGAGACAAAAGACTCTATTGAACTGACTGACTGCGAGTACGAGAGTCTGTTAGAGTTGTTTCGTTTCTTGTATAGCGACANCCATTGAAACAGAAGAAGACAAAGTACATTGGTGGGCTACACATGCCGCTGCTCTCCCAAATTGGTCTGCTGCAGTCAAAAAGATCTTGTTGGTGCAGCCTAGTTCAGCATCGGCTGAACGAGTGTTTAGCCTGCTACAAAATGCATTTAGTAAGCAGCAAGAGGCAGCATTAGAGGAAACAGTGGAAACATCGGTCATGTTACGTTACAATGACAATAAGCGCACATGAAATCATGAATTATGTGTCGGTAGAGGGGTAGCTGGTGGTGCAAAACCTTCAGGGACAGTGTAAATATTGTAAATATTGAAAGAACATGGCTTTATACCACAAACACTCGTTTATGTCAGAGAAACTTTATATCCTTAATAAGCATATTAGCAAAGTTTGTTTTGTTCGAATACAATCACGTGGTTGCGTTAAGCGAAATTTATTAATTAAATCGTTATTTGAGTTGTAAATCAATCTCTTACACCCAAAAATAGAAAGCAACTTTTGAGAAACTTTTGGATTTTGGGGCAACTTTTGAGCAACTTTTAGAATTTTGGAGCAACTTTTGAGCAACTTTTTTGGAAAATTGGAGCAACTTTTTGAGAAAATTGGAGCAACTTAGGGACAGCCCTAATACAAAAGAGGCTGTGACGTCAGATGTATTTGTTACAGTTGAGCGATCTCTGGTTAAATCTGTTGTCAAAAGGGGAAAGTTAACGGTAAAGGAAGTGGACCTGTTCAAAGCTGCTGATCACTGGGCCACAAACGAATGTGAAAGGCAAGGAGTAACTCCTGATGGAGAAACAAAGAGACGAATTCTTGGAGAGGATATTGTAAAGGCGATACGGTTTCCACTGATTTCACAGGAGGAATTCGTGTCAGCTGTGTTTGATTCTCACATTCTTACTCTCCAGGAGGTTGGAGCCATGATGAAACACTACTGTGGCGTCCTAAAGTCGCCTTTGCCATTTAAGAAAACCATGAGGGGTAGGGTTCTTTATCACCGAAGTAACCGATTTCAAAAGTTCAGTAGTGGCTGTTACTACAGTGAAGGCGATAGTATTGAGTTCACCGTCAGCAAACCAATCATGTTACGTGGAGTTCAATATTTTGGCTCTAAACATAGTAAGCATACTGTTGTTACAGAAGTTAAAGATACCATCCACAACTCTTGTCTTGGAAAAGACTCAGGAACTTACCATTCAAAAAAGGACGCGTGGAACAACTTTTATGGCTTCGATGTATCATTTGAGTCTGCACTGTGTTTGGAGGCAAATAAACAGTACACGTTGGTGTCGGTTTTTAAAGGTCTTGTTTCATGTTATGGACTTGACGGACAAAAAATTGTTGAATCCGGAGGAGTGCGCTTCACGTTTAGCGAATCAAACTGTGACTTCAATAGCTCTTCAGGGACGAGGGGGCAGTTTCCTGCTCTCATTTTCAGCTAACTTTGATGGATAAAATTGTTCTAACAGTTCTGTATGGGGAGATACCTTGCTTCAGTTTTGTTTTCCTGAAATAAATAATTCTTCTAGTTTAAATTGGTCTAGCTGGTTTTTTTCTTCACATACCAATGATGAAAAGTGATATGAATTCATACAAGTGATCTGCACATTGCCATTCAAAGTTGGATTGAGGTCGTGTGTATCAATTAGCCGCACCAAGATAAAAAGTGTCCAAAACCTAGAGTCGTACGCATTCAGACCGATACCGGGGCTATATCAACCAGCTGCACTGATTTTGGACTTAAGACTCGATGAAGATGTGTTTCATCCACTTGGTTAAATGAGGTATTCGAAGAACTCCTGAGAAGAGACTATTGCGATGGCCACTGAAGAGAAATGGCAGACAAATCTCCCAACTCTCACAGAAAGAAATGTGTTTATTTTGAACAACAAGTTTTAAATTATTTTCCACTACGGCAGAGACGAACAAATCGAGGAAAAAAATTTTAAAAAATAAAGACGGAAAAAACTGTTGCGCACCACAACCCTTAATCCTAAAGGAGAGAATGGCGAAAAATTATCCCAAATCCTAAAAGACGGAATTGCAGAAGCCACCCTACAAGTTTGTGCGCGCAATCAGTAGTCCTGTGTTCTTTGCCATGTTCTATGGTCGAATGGTGGAGACTTAAGACTCTATTGCACTGCCTGACTGTGATTACGAGAGTATGTTGGAGTTGTTTCGTTTCTTGTACAATGACAAGGTGAATTTGAGCGGAAATAATGTGATGTGAGTGTTGTACTTGGCGAACAAGTACTTAATGCCTTCACTCGCCCAGAAATGCACAGATTATCTATGTGAAAACCTGAGAGTATTCAACGTGTTTAGTATTCTGCCACACGCTCAGAAATTTGAAGATAAAGATTTGGAAGATCGATGCTGAAAAGTAACTGGAGCGCAGACATAAGAGGCGATGACGTCAGACGAATTTGTTTCAGTTGAACAATCTGTAGTTAAGAGAGAAGTGTTGAATGCAGAGGAAGTGGAACTGTTCAAAGCTGTTGATCACTGGGCCACAAAGGAATGTGAAGGACAAGGGATGATTTCCGACGGAGGGACAAAGAGACGACTTCTTGTAGTGGTAATTGTGATAGGATTATGCTTCCCGCTTACACCACAGAAGGATTTTGCTTCGGTTGTGTTTGATTCGGGAATCTTGAATTATGAAGAGTTCGGAAATATGTTAAAATACTACAATGGGTTTTTAACTACTCCTTTACTGTTCTTAGAAGCCTGCAGAATTGATTCCACTCAGCACCGATGCTGCAGATTTCAAACGTTTTGTGCGCCAGGGAGTTAATGGAGTTACGATGGAGGCCTTGCTAACTGCTTCGAAGGCGGTGGGTATACAGTTACAACAGACATTGTTGATCCCATAGACAGTGCTTCACTTGTGTATTGCGCAGGAAATTATGCATCAGAAAAAAGCAATACCCCTGCTTATTACGGCTTTTATGTAATGTTCGATCGTCCAGTTACTTGAAGGAAAATAAAGAATACAAGCTACAGTCGCTCATCAAGGGTGCTAAATTGTGGGACAGAGAAGATGGGCAAACATCAGTGGAGTGCCAGGGAGTGCGATTTATGTTTCGGAAAGCTGATTGCCCTACTAATGGGACTGATGAAAGAATTAAGAGGACAGTTTCCTGGAATTTTGTTTTCAATTTCCAAGTAGAAATCCTTAGGTTACCCGAACCATCCCAGTTAACGAAGAGCACAGTGAAAGTCTATTAGGTTAGTAGTACTGGATCAATTGGATCAATCTTCTCAGATGACCATGCAGGTATATACACTTATGAATTCTTTAACAAACACTGCCGGATAAAAACTACAAGTGAAAAAGCCAAGTGTGACCTATGAGAGTTTACACAGAACACTTGTAGACGGGATCCTCAAAAGTTAGTCAGAGAACCCTGTAGTGTATGTAACGAATAATAAGTCTCATGAACGAGGAAGTTTCTGTTACCTAAATTTTGTTTTATTGAGTGCAATTAAATGTTATGTGTGCTTTCTTTTTGCTTGCTTGTAATTGCTGGGGGTCAAATTAAAAATATACCACAGAAGGAATTTCAAACAAAGAGCCTTACCGGTAAGCTTCCAAACTAATAGATATTACTTGTGAAAAATTTTTGTCGTAAACTGAGCTAGGATAATTTAGAACAAAGCCTTACGATCGAGACAAAAAAAGTGAGACAATAGCGAGCCAACGTTATCTTATCAGATTTATTGACTATTAATAAAGTAAATCGACCACTGTAAAGAGTTTCAAAGCCATCGTTTCCAAACGTCAGCTTCAGAAAGTCGTCACGGAAGCCAGTTCACATTATCAACTCAGTTGATGAAACCAAATTATCCAAATTATCTACTTGGACCCCCCCTNTCTCCGTCAGATTTCAGAGCAGTCAAGGTTGACTTGTCAGTTTTAGCTTTGTAGTGTAGAATTTTCTGAGATTTGTCGGATTTAGACCAGTTCATTACCCTCGTGGCTGGACAAAGGTAATATATATCTTAGTTTCGTTCTCTTTATTGTGCTTTAGTAAGATTTTGATGTATTTCATCGAGACAAGCCGATTCGCAAACTGTTCGATTTTCTCACCAGTTTCTTTTTCATGTATTACTTTCTAGTTTTACGCTTCTTTCTGTAACCTGCTGAGGATTTTAAAGAGACATTGCAATTCTGCCAGCAGTGTCTTAGTGAATATTTTCGTGATCAAATTAGACCTATTTATCGTGCGAAAGGTCGCTGGTAACGCGGGGTGTACCTGACAAGTTAAAGCGACAATTTCTCTGATGTTTTTCAAACGAGTATACAATGATCAGGAAGTGTTTATATGATTATTATGTAGGAAGTAAGGTTTTAGTGATCGTCGTAGTTGTGTAGTTGTTTAGATGAAATATTTCTCGTTGCAATCACAGATAACCTCAGTTCAAGAAAAAGGAAACGAATACAGAATAATGTTGACGACATTTTTCACTGGAGGTGGAACACAGACCAAGACATTACAAGAACTGTATTGTTCCCTCTCTCTGGTTGGCAGGCTTCAACAAGAATTTAAAATTTCTTTCCTGAAAGTCTACATTCTCCTCTCTATCACAGCATTTCTTGGCAATTCTCATATCCTCGTTTCCCTTCACAAAGAAACCTTTCTTAATCCGCCGTCCAAACTCTTGTATCGTTGTCTTGCAACAACTGATCCGTTGGTTGGTCTTATTACCCAGTCTCTCCTAGGTGCTTTTTTCAGTCGTCAGCAGGCTCAAGTACAAGATCGTGTCCAGTAACAGCCGAGCCAACCAAATGCACTGAACATGGCGTGATACAAAAAGGCAGTGTATAGTGTATTGTGGGTGCAGTTAGCCTTAGTAGTTTGTTACGCACCATACTTTATGATGTCAGTTGCAGTCGCTGACTGTAAAACATATTCATCACATTTAGTGGTAATGAGGGAAGTAGTAGCTATCTTAGTTTACTTTAACTCAACTTCAAACCCGTTTCTTTACTGCTGGAAGATTAGTAATATAAGACAAGAAGTAAAGCAGAGAATAAGACAAGCACTTTGCTGTCCTTGGACTTAAATCCTCATCGAGTTATATTTGTATGAGTACTTTCAAAAAGGAGAGTCATAAAGACACGATTATTACATGAGAACGCAGGTCAATTATGTTATTAGATAGGAAGTATTAAGTAGTTTAAATGATATTGTTTTTGAGGTTTTTTCCATAGTATGGTGTGAATATTTTACACGTTAATTTATGTTTTTCATGATTCTCTGTGAATATTTTCCTTAGTTTATG